CACCCTAATATTTCGTGTGGGGTTTTGCCTGTACTTCCAACTGGAATTTGATTTAAACATGTTTGAATTATTGGTAATTGTCTTGTCCAATCTGCCAATTGTCCATTCACTATATGTTTATGAAGTGCTTTGCGAATTTCTAAATTCTTTCTTTCTACCATACCATTACTTTGACTATGGAATGATGTTGTTTTCATTTTTCTTATTCCCATTGATGATACCATTTCTGTAAAGATTTCTCCAAGAAAATTCCTTCCTTGATCTGTGAGAATTTCTTCTGGAATACCCAATATTGGGAAATAGTTGAAGAACAAATGTTTAGATATTTCTTCAGCTGTTTGTGTTTTCAGAGGGAACAGGTTGGTGAATCTTGACATATGATCTATAATGACAAGTATATATTTATAAGATTCATGTCCAGTCAAAGGTCCTATTATATCCATAGCAATTCTTTGCATTGGTAGAGTTGGATGAGGTGTTTCACTCAACAAGTGTTTGTTGCCTGGTGCTCTTAATTGTTCACAAAATTCGCAATTCTTTATTTGCTCTTTAATTTAGGATGCCAGAAAGCTTGTTCCAAGGTATGAATTGTTATATCAACACCATAGTGCTCGAACAGCTGGTGTTGATGAATTTGTCCAAGTAGGTTAGTTAAAGTTGATAGAGGGATTACAAGTAATGGTTGACAACCATCTAAATACCATACTAGATCTTCCTTAACAAACATATATTGAATGAAATTTTTATATTCATACAATATTTCATCATCAACATTTTCTCCTTCCAATTTGTCTACAACTTTCATTAGTGGAATATCCAAAGTTTGTTCTGTATAGAAGTCTATTTTAATAGTTGTAGTTTTTAGTTTCATAACTTTCAACTGATTTTGAATTATTTCTTCATCAAACTCATCATCATATAAATTATCATCCAAACAATCATCTAATTCTTCTAGATCTTCTGTATCAATATAAAAGCATTTAAGCATGTCTTTCCTTTCTGCTAATTTGGGAACACTGTTGCCATATTGTTTATCTTCATTCAGTCTTTCTTTTAGCAAGCTGTGAAAGTCAATTACTTCATCAGTTTCTCTAATTCTTGATACCCAGTCTGCTCTATTAGTTCTTCCTGAAATATATATTATTTCAAAATCCATATCCATAATTGCCATAACCCATTTAATAGTACTTGAATTTAGTTTGTTTTGTACAAATGTTTGTACTCAAATGATCAGTATACAGAAAAAATTTCTTATACTGCAAATAATGGGAGAATTTTTGTACTGCCCAATACACAGCAAAAGCTTCTTTTCAATAAGCTGCATATCTTAATTGTGTATTGATTAGAAGCTTGGAAGCAAAAGAAATTGGTTTTCTTATTTTCTTTCCATTTTCTTCCCATTCTTGTTCCAGAACTGCATCAACTGCATAATAAGAGGCATCAGTTGTTAAAAAGAATGGTTTGGTGAAATCTGGTAGTTGAAGTATGGGTGGTTCTGTCATTGATTTCTTTAGTATCTGATAAACTTCTTCTGCTTCTTTATTCCATTTTAGTTTTTCAATCGTTTGATGAACCTTTAGTAATTCTCTCAAAGGTTTTGTAATCTTGGAAAACTTAACAAAGTATTTGCAAACAGGGGTAGTTCAGCATCTTTAATCTTTTGAATTTTTTCTGGATCAGTTTCAATACCATTCTGTGTAATTCTATGACCAAGAAATTGTACTGATTCTTGTAAGAATGCACATTTACTTAGCTTGATTCTGAAATCCTTTTCTTTAATTCTTTCCATTAACTTTTTGAGAGCAATGAAATGTTCTTCTAATGTTTTTGTAAAAACAATAATATCATCAATATAGTTAATACAAAAGTTTTCTAATCCATTTATGACAAAATTAGCCATAATGTAACTGAAATGTGAAGGTGCATTTGCCAAACCAAAAGGCATTCTATTGAATTTGAATAGACCAAATGGTGTAATAAATGCTGTTTTTTCTTTATCTTCCTCTTTAATTGGAATATGATGAAATGCACTCATCAAATCCAATATAGAAAAGTATTTATGTCCTCCTCCAAGTTTGTCAAATAAATCTTCTTGATGTGGAATTGGATAGCAATTCTTTTTTGAATGTTTGTTGAGTTTTCTGTAATCTACACACATCCTTAATGTTCCTTCTTTTTTCTTAACAAAAACAATTGGTGAAGCCCATTGACTTTTGCTTGCTCTTATTAGTCCATTTTCCAATAATCCATTCAATTGTTCTCTACATTCTTGTTGTTTGTTGGGTGGTAATCTGTAAGGTCTTTGTTTAAAAGGTTTTACATCACCCAACAATTCAATTGCCATAGGTGGAACATCTGGTGAGCCAATATCAGTTTGATTTGTAGCTATGATATTTTCATAGCTCTTGATGATTTCTTGTAGTTCTTCTCTGCTCTTTTCCATGCTATCTTTGGACACACTAGAGTAATTATCAATTTCTATTGTATTTATGCAAAAACTGTCTACACTATGGTTTGACAAATGTTCACACTCAAAAGCAACATCTAACTCAAATTCTTCTATCTCAGGAATAGGAGGGAGCTCTATTCCAATAGTTATTCCATCTTCCAACTCTATGAGTAGAGGTTCCATATCCATATTAATATCTGGCTTTTTGGTAGCCATCATGGTTATTCCATTCCAACTTGATGTGTTGATTTTCCATTTCCATATCTGTATTTGATTCTTCTTCAGAAGTGGTACTACTCTCTTCTTCAGACAAATTGATGATAATAACTGTATCACCATCTAATTCTTCATTTGCATCTGATTCAAGACTTGTCAATGTATCATAATGTTCCGAGTTATTCTGACTCTGATCTACATCATAACTACTTTCTGTATCTGAATCAACAATTTCCATATCTGAATCTTCACTATCTCATACCTCCAGTGGATTCTCAGCTGGTTCTTGGAAATGTAATCCAATCATTCCAACAGTTAATTGTTATGTTTTCTTGACTTCTTTTCTGTACTTAATCATTTTGTCTTTTTTGTATAAAGGATTTAATGGGTTCTCCTTTTCTTATGAAGAATGGAAGTGAAACTTGTTTTATTGCAAAGTTGATTATTGCACCAGACTTTCTTAAGAAGTCACATCCTAGAATTATTGCCATATCCAATTTTTCCATTATGAAAAATTCTTGTTCCATTATTCTCTTTGCAAATTGTATGTTGAGTTTTGCTTTACCTTTAGTTTTTAAAGCATTTCTATCTGCAGATATAATGCAACATCTGTTTTGGTCAAAGAATATGTTTCCTACGAAATAAAAGCCTTTTTAAAGTTCTAGGCTCTATTTCTACTAAATAAATGTCTTTCTAAACTTCCACCATTATAATTGCTATGAAATAACACTTTTTCTAAACTTCCACCATTATAATTGCTACGAAATAAAAGCCTTTCTAAAGTTCTATAATATCTAAGTCTAAATATTATTATGTTGATGTTTTTAAGTGCACAAATCCTGAACTTTTCTGCATAAATATTGCAAAATACTTTTTGAGATTCTAAATTAAAAATGAAAAACATGAATAATTTAATAAAAACATATAAAGAGACAGACCTTGGATGCATTTGGCATGGACATAATCCTGGCAGTCACTGCATTTCATCTTTCTCTATCTACCATAAAATCCTTTATTACAGTTAATACAAACAGGTGTCATGACTAAAATTCTGCAAAATTAAATTCACTTTCAAATATCAAATATGGCTGCCAAGACAAAAATTATAAATAATAACTCACAGGAAAGAAGGGTTTTTAAAGAAATTGTATGATCTTGTAATATTCAATAAACCAAGTCAATACAAGAGTATCAATGTTTAAAAAACAAATTAGCCTGAAAATATGCCAAAAAATGTAAAATTTATCTTTCACTTATAGACAATACAATGAAATCATTCATTTCTCTTTTAATAGCATTATATATGTACACTTATGAACTATAGTTTATAGATATTTTATGAATGATACTTACTACATGGTAAAAGTGTTAAAGTAGATGTTGCCTCTAGGGTAGATGGTACCCAACTGCCAGAATCAACCCCTTTTATAGGCAAAGGATAAGATGTTACATAACAAACATGTTGACAACATCAACAACAAGTGTTTATTTACATAAATATGATGTAAGAATTGACCCTTGAGGGGTAACCTACACAAAGTTGTTGTTGTTTACATCACTATTGCATAATATGATAACCCTTGACCCTGTTTGTTGTGAACAATCCTTATCTGGGGTTAGACCCTTGTTGTTGACAGCCAAGGCATAAACAACTGATAAGGAATTGTATAAAAGCAGGGCATAGGCAGTAACAGGCATTCAGTCCTGAATCAACTCCCTTAGTGAACAGGTCTAGTATTACTTTAGAATACAGTTATATTATTCTTACAGTTTGGTTCTATATTCATCCTTCATCAATTCTACATCTCTCTTCTAAGTGGCTCTCTCCTGGTTCGGTTCTATTTGGACCAGTACTTACCTACAACCTCAGCAGGAAAGTACAATGTAATTCAGAGAAAACAGGTGAAAACATTATAATACATATACCTTTGTTCAAAAATATTAATATTTTTTTGATAAATGAAGTTAACAACTAAGAGAAAAAAGGACATTTTTTCCCAAAACTTAAGATGTTTTTTCCTAGGGATGTTTTTTCCCAAGGATGTTTTTTCTGGACCTCCAATAGAACTATGAGAATGGGAATCATTGAAAACAATTTTAGCTTTTTCCCAGCTTTCTCAGCCTTTGAAGAAAATTGTATTATTAGTGTTCTTACTACTACTGTCCTCTACAGGATATTGAAAAATTCAGTTGGATAAAAACAGATAGATATTATTACTTTTGATTTTTTTAATTAATCTGTATTCATTCTGTAAAAACTGTATGTTACTTTATATAAAATATTTTATGTGTCAATAGCAAAATCTTTGTCATTAAATTTTCTGGAGCAAATAATTGGATATCTTGAAAGGCTTTAGGATATCATTAATATCCATCAGCCAACAAGAAATTTGATCTTTTCTGTTTTGAAGTCTTCCTCTTATTAAGTTATTATTAACTATAACTGCAACAGACTTAAATTCACTTTCATCTCTGTTAGATTGAATCATTGAGTAGAATGTAAAGTGTTTTTTTCCAACATCACCAAGTAACCCAGTCATTTGTGGGTAATCTTCAGGCACAGTCTTAAAGCTAACATCTAGATGAAATTCTCCAAGACCATGTGTAGATTTTTGAATTTTAATTGAGAATGAAGATCTTCTTTCAGTTATCACAATCATTTTACTATTTTTTATATGATATTTGAATTGGTCAGTGGCTAAAAGTAAATTTTGCAGACTATGATTCCATGCAAAAGTTTTTTTATTATCAAGAGTAAAGCTGTCAATTGAAAAGCTCATATTACCAAAAGGTGTTTGAACAACAATTTTATGCATATAATAATCATCTTTAAGCTGTCCAAAAATTTTAATTCCTTTCATAGAAAATCCAGCTATATATATATAATCACCAGTTGTACCAGTTACATCATAACAAATATGTTTTTTTTCCAATGTAGAAATATCATTAACAACTTGTTCAAAATGTGGATCTCCTGTTGCAGAGACCCATAAATCAGTTGAGCCACTGGCAAAATATATTGGAATATAGTTTATAAAAGATTTTGAAGCCACCTCGCATGTTGCCTTTACAAATGCAAAGTCACTGGATCCAGTCTTTGTTGCTATAATTTGTACAATTTGGGAGTCAAGAGTAAATGGTCCAGATACATCTATTGTAACTTTAGAAGTATCTGTAGATTCAGTTCTGAAATTGAAGTGAAATAAAAATATATTTTTAACAGTAAAAAATGTTGTCAGTAAATACTATTTTGTGAAAATATAAAGATTAAATGTCTGCTGTGTATGAATGAATAATGTAGAAGAAATTGTATTCACATCTTAACTGAGATTTTAAAGTGACAATGTAATGTTTTTGATGGCAAGTATAACAAAAAATTGTATGAATCTAAACTTCTCATATTGCCAAAATTTGTTTTAATGATTGACAACATCTATAAAATTTATACAACCCACCTGCAAGTAGTATCAGTATTAGCACGATCAACACTAACACCAATAGTAGTTGGTGATGATTGCTGACTGGACATGTCAATGAATAATAAAAATAAACCAGGTAGTTCATTTTGACCAAAGTCTGAAAAAAAATATTTCATTATGATTTTGCAGTAGGAAATTTATTTCTAAATTATACCTTCTTGAGAGTAAACATATGTTTGATGTGAAAAAACTAGTTCTTCTGAATTAAGTTGACATGTGAAGGTACTTTTAGCAAAAAAACTGTTGGTTATACTCCCAATTGCAGTGCTTGGAATTTGATGTTGCGTATTTGCTAAGGTCAGAGTTACTGTACCAGTATGAATTACTGTTCCATCAGGTTTTGCAGTGGATATACTGTAAAAATAAAAAGTTTAGCACATTTACATAAAACTTATATGATACAAACCTGCATGTTGGTGCTCCTGTGACCTTTTCTATCACAATAACAATTGATTTTCCTTCTATAGCAACAGCCTGCACATGAAGTCTCAGAGCTATTTGACAATTAATTCCACAAGCTAAAAGTAGAAGAAGAAAACTAAGTATGTGAATCTGCCTCATTTTTTCTCCTAATGAAAAAAATACTTTTTACCAAGTGTTTTTATACTTTTTTGAACACCAGGCAATATTATATTTTAAGTATAATAGGTTGAGCCTATATAGGTCTAAACAGTCTTTTTCAAGTTGGTCTTAAGAGTAAACTCAATTCAGTATAAAATCTTTAATAACTTTAAATGACAGGCCTGTAAAAAAGATTGTGCCAAAGAGCACTTCATGTTTTCTATTAAAATCTTTGCTGTATTATGTTTTTAGAAATCATGTTTTTTATCAAGTTAGGAGATAAGGCATAGGTTTGCTAATGCTGAATGATTAAGCTTTGGACAAGCCTATATTTTCTAATGTCCTTTTAGGTGTGTCCAAAATTTTTATTTTCTCCCCATCCACTGTAAGGTTACTCTAGCTAGAATTGTTTTAAATGTTGATTTTGGTGTATTTTTTCTTTGACTGCTTCCTAAAATCCATTGGGACTCTTGAAATTTGAGAATTCTGTTTCTCTTTTATGATTTATTCAAAAGAAAAACCTTTACAAAAACCAGTTTTTGCTTTTGTTAAGCATTCACATTAAATAGTATTGAGTTAAGGCTATAGTTTACAAAAAAAAGCAATTATTAAAAGTTTTTCTATCATATGAAAATATCATAGGCCTAATTGTATATTTTCTAAAAGTTCATATATTGTCAGATTGCCAAATTACAAAATTCGCATATAACTTTATTAACTACTAGAAAAACTGTTCTTTTTCTCAATTCACTGTTTGTAGTTTCCTGAATTAAAAGTCTAATAATTATGGTATAAAAGTGCTTTTTACAGTTGTCCAGCATAAAAGTAACATTTTTTCCAAATGTAAAAGTAACAAGTGACCAAAAAAATTAGTATATATTAGTGGAACAGGTTTTGACCTAAGTACTACTTTAGCTGAAAATCCACTGGACAGACCTACAACCTTGAACTTAATATTATTTAATAAATATCAACTTGCAATAAATGCCAATAAAAAACTATTTACACTGGTTTCTCAAAATAGGTCATAAATGACAAAAGTGCTCCTGAATCACATAAAGCAATGACCTTGTTTCTATTATGATTTTTAATAAAATATTTTCAAAACATTTTTTCTACTGAAAATCGTTTTAAACATTGATTTTTTTGACTACTTTCAAAAATTTTGAAAATACTTTGAATTCCTGTAGAAAAATGAAAATGCTTCTTTCTATCTTTCCAACATAGGGGCAAGCTTCAATATCAAGTGGATGACACTTACATTCCCTTGTTGAGAATTTGTATGTGGCGTTTGTTGGAAATACAGTGACTAAAAGAACTATTAAGACACGAAAGATAATTTTCACAGCTGACTTCTTTTTCTAAAATCTGACCTTGAAAATGACAACAGAAAACACATAAATACAATATTTGTTAGCCATAAAAGTAATCAATGGACTGCTCCACTAAAATCTTTTATATAATATTAAAGTTTCCTTTGTTATCAACAATGTATTTAGAAATTATATCTGTATGAATTTTAAACTTTTATTATTAAAAGCCTTTTCAGGCATATATTGCATTATGGGAAAAATTCTTCACTTTCTATGAGGCTCTTTATATATAAAAGCTTTTTAGTGTACTTTGTTATATTGTAATTATAGGAATTTGTATACATACATTTGTCAGCTATACTCTACAATAGAAAAGTAGTATTGAACTAGTATTGTACTCATAGAGATAAGCAGTATTGACCTAGTTTCACATAAGGCAGTGCATATACAATGTGTGGCAATAAAACCAATTTGTGAACTATCCACCTTTAAAAGAGTATATAAACTCTACAAAATTAACAATTGATAGTTCAGTTTTCTAACCATCAGCTGGTTATTTAAACTAGATTGTCTAGAACTAGAAGCTCATTTTACTCAATATGTATTCTTTGCACGAAATACTCATGTTTTGTGGATTCAATTCTACCTAAAATTACATTTGTTAGACTATTTGTGGACGAACTTGAAATGTTCTATTTGTGTGAGTACTTTGGCAGATTGGTAAATGATTGGAAAGGATGATTACAGTTGTGATGAACCAGAAATTTGTCCTCAAATAGTCTTAGCAAATGTAATTTTGGTAGAAATTCTTTCTTCTATTCCAATCAATCAATTATTAACTAGCCCTGACATTGGTTCTTATCAATGTTATATTAGTAATAAAACTTGAGATATGTAAATCAGACTCTAAAAATCCCTCTATTCTGCCAATTTTACATATTTCATTCTCTCAACCTTCCCAAGTTACCCAAAGCATGTAAGTCATTTTCCTTGGCTAACCCAATTATAGAAATCATATTACTCATATCAAGTATCTCCACTTTCATCACTGTTTTGCCTTTCTAGATAAATGAATAAAAGAGAGGCTAGTGGCTTAGTTAAAAAGAATCAATGATTTTTTTTTGTTAAATCAATTTTAAATAAATTGTCTAATCCTTTAAAGGAAAATTGTTTTAGTTCAGAAATTTTTGAACCAATTAATGAAAGATGTTCAAGTGATGTTAAAGTTTTAAATGATAAATTGTCAATAGATTTAAAAGTATTGTATGAAAGATTCAAAACTCTTAATGATGGTATGAGAAGGATACTTGAATTTAAATATCTTAGAAAGCTTCTTTTTACAGCAATTTTCTTCATCATCACTATTTGGACAGTGTCCTATACCATCACAGACATTTTGTAATGGTATACAATAATAGGCGGAGCACTGAAATGATCCTTCAATACACAGCATTGATAGACAATTTGATAAATCGAAATATGGAAATTGGGGTTTGGTTATCAATTTACCCAAACTATTGTATTTTAAGTGGCATTTTGTTGTTGCATTATCATTTAAAGGATCACTGTCTCTCTGATTCCATATTTGGCATCCATTATCTAAAGAAAAGTGAATACTATTCTGTTATTTGAAATCTCTGGACTAATTTTTCATTTCAAAAATCTACCCAAATTGTACAACAACTTTTCACAAATATTTTTCAAACATTCATTTTGGGCTTCATCTTTGCCATCTTTACAATCAATTCTATTGTCACATACATTTCCAATATCTATGCATTCATTAGAACAATAGAATTGGGACGAATTGAATTCATCTTTTAGGAAAATGGTTGGAACAATAGTCTGATATTTCATCTTTCCTTTTTGTATTTCCTGATTTACTATTTCATCCAATCCGTCTATACAGTGTTTCTCTCCATCACATTTTAAAGAAGCTATTATACATCCGCCATTTTTACATCCAATAATTCTAAACAATTATTAAGCAACACTCAAACTTGTCAAATATTACTGTATCTCTCCAGTTTTACAGTTGACTTATTCTTTAAAAAAGAAAAATCCTCTTTTTGGTGTTTTTCTTTCAACATGTTCATTGATTTTTAATCATAAAACTATGTTTTTTTTCTGTAAGGAGAGAATCACCTACTAAATGTCTTAAAATTTGAACAACTGAGATAAGCAAATGGTAAAATAACTAGTTTTGTAAAAAAAGAATTTTTTTTTCATTTTTAAATATCCATTTATGCAGTCTCTTACATTGTTAACAAATTGCCAATCAACTATAAAAGGAGTGTTATATATTGAATATTTATCCATAAAATATTTTACAGTTCCATACATAAATCCAAAGTAATTACAAAACATCTTTTTCACACCAAAAATGATTTTATTGTACAAGATTGAAGTTGAAAAGCTTGAATTAGATTATAGAGATGCAGTTTGAAAACTATTGTTGATTTGTAATGAAAAGAAAACACTTATGAGAAATTGAATTGTAACATTTCCTTTATATTTACCTTGACCTACATTTGTCTGCTGTAATTGTTAAGTCAATTAAACTAACTTTTAATTATTACTATATTTTTTATTATTCTTCTTAGAGATTTTAAAAACATGGTACTAATTTTAAAACCACTTTTTTTCCCTATTTATATTAAAATTATTATTTCAATTAATCTTTGTACAAAAAAGAAATTAATATCAATTCTTAAAAGATCTAGATTAGGTTTAAAGGTCATGTGATCATTATAACAATCTAGTGTTCAGTATTTCTTTTTCATTATTAAAATATTTATGTCAATTTCAGTTGTTTGAGTTGATAAAGAGGGGTATGAGAGAGAATGTCCTATTTTTGAGTGTTAAAAAGGGTAATAATGGCAGGTTTATGGAGAAAACATCCACTAGAGAAAATATCCACAAGAGAAAACTTCCATAACTTAGGAGAAAACATCAACAGCAATTTTTTATATGAAGAATGGTTTAGAGATTAATATTTTGAATGAAAATATAAAAATTAGAAAAAAAGATGTGTAATATTTTATTCATGTAATAAGATATGTCTAACATAAAAGAGATAACTACAAAAGATGTATAAACTACCAGAATATGAATTCCAAAAAATTTCTAAGTTTTTTGTAACCAGCTAAAGTTGTTCATGACATAATATAAATGCTTGCTGCCTTTTCTAATAACTCTGATGCACATACTGATCTAACTTCAAATTGCTCCCATATACCAAAAAATCTGACTTTGAATTTTCTGATATGGTTTTCTTTGCTGTCTACAGATCTTTCTCTCACTTAATAATTTTTTGTAAAGTGTAATCAACTCTGCTTCTCTCTTTAATTCATCAATGGTCACATACAATGAGGAGTTTGCATGAATATTCCTATTTAATCTGTTGTGCCATCCTTCCAGATCATTGTTGGTTCTGATTGCTTCACCATATATAGACCAAGAGTTATCATATTATGCAATAGTGATGTAAACAACAACAACTTTGTGTAGGTTACCCATCAAGGGTCAATTCTTACATCATAGTGATGTAAATAAACACTTGTTGTTGTCAACATGTTTGTTATGTAACATCTTATCCTTTGCCTATAAAAGGGGTTGATTCTGGCAGTTGGGTACCATCTACCCTAGAGGCAACATCTACTTCAACACTTCTACCATATAGTAAGTATCATTTATAAAATATCTATAAACTATAGTTCATAAGTGTACAGTCTCTATTATTTCAATTTAAAGTGTTATCACTTCAAATATAATTATGCAACTTTTGTAGTTTTGATGTAAGTTAAGCACAGTGGATGTTTTCAACAAGGACAGTGGGCGTTTTCAACAGGTTAGTGGGCGTTTTCAACAATATCTGGCTACTTGCCATACAGTTCACATAGGTTCAGCCTTCTAACTGCTTTGCTTCGATCCTCAATGCTCATTGTTATGAATTGTGGGCAATTCCTTAACGGTGTGGCTTTCCACATATATAGCAATCTATTTCTTTTCTTTTCCTTTGTTGCCCTGCCCAATTTGTCTAACACAGCAAAGGCGGCGCCAAATTTTGTTTTTATTTCCCCATATTCTGAGCATAGGAATTTCATTGCACTATTGTAGCTGTCCTTTGGTGATGATCTGAATCTTTCTACCTCTTCTTGCAACTCCATACCCAAGTGCCCTATTTTATCATCATCAATGCTATCTTCCATCCTATCAAAGGCACATGCATCCTTTTGTGTGGTCCGGCATTGCTAGCCAGATGTTGTATGTTTTAGCCTGGTTGTATTGACTTGTGTCATTGATAGGTCTTCATCATTGCTTTCGTTTGCAGTTACTGCACTGTTTCTCTTCCTTTTTCCGGAAGACATCCCTCTTTCACTAGAACAGCCTGCTTGTATTATTGGGAAATTTAATAGGCCAGGTAAAAGGATAAAAGCAATCAAATATCTTGTTTCAATAAATGAATCCTGTCCTTTGAATGATAGATCTAACATTTTTATTTTTAATTTTCAAGTGAAAATTATAGGAAACTTCAATAATTTTTAATACTTTTCTTGCAAAAACTTGACAACAGAGAAAATTGCTCAAAAGTACAATTGATTGCAAAACAAATATCCTCTGACCTTTTAACCCTTTCAGTATAAAATCTCCACTTGCACAACAATTAAAACAAATAGATAATAATGGTAAGAAAACAGCAAGCATTGTTAGTATAATATAAATATAGGCTGATAAATTTCTTCTGTATGTTAAAAGTAAGACAGAGCACTCATAAAAGTTGCTTTTTAAATTATTCTATTATGTCATTGATTAAAGAAGAAGGTGTTATTTTCATTTGAAATATATACAACCTTGATTGGTAATAGTAGGACCGCATTTAATATTATTGCCATAAAAAATACTGAAAAATGTGTTACTTGAAAAAGCTTTCTAGATTTTTTAATTAAATTATATCTGTCCAACAGATTCAAAATATCATTCTTAATATAAGCAAATTGTATAAAAAATAGTGAATTATTTATTAGAAAATGACTGATTATACACAAATTTGAATTGATCCATTTATCATAATATTTCTTGTAATTTCCATTTTCAAAAGGTAATAGTAAATTTATTAGTAGAATGTGTGCTAATATTCCAAAATCAGTTAGGTGACTAAACACTATTAAAAACTTGTTATTCCTTAAAAAAATTACTTGAAAAATGATATATGTCAATGAAGTAATGCATATTATCCAACTTATTGATCTAATTATTGTCAGTAGCATTAGATTTCTATTAAATTTCCTTACAGAAACTTTCCAATTACACTTTTTTAAATTCTGTACCATATTTACATAATTACATAATATTTTATGACTAGTTTGTAAATGTTTTAAGTGTTTTAAATTTTCAAAAAAATCAATTCTAAATTGATGTAAATGATATTTTCTTATAAAAATTGAAATTGTTTCTAAATGATTTAATTTTGAGAAAATATCTCTTTCAACCAACTCAAATTCATTTCCAAAGAATTCTAAATAGAATAACTTTTTCAAATATATAAAACAATTTTTTCTTAAAAACTTTAAATTATTTGTGCACTTAGATATAATGATATATCAATACTTAGACTTTAGATATAAGGGTACATTAGAAAGACTTCTATTTTATAAGAATTAGACTGGTGCAACAATAGAAATACTTATATTTCGTAGGAATTATAGTGGTGGAACTTTAGAAAGACTTTTATTTCGTAGTGTTAGCTTTTAGTAAAGTTGATCATACACATGGTAACACAATTGGTAAATATGCATGTGTTGAAGCATCTCTTAGTAGTAAAGGTCATTTTGCTGAATTAATATCGCCATATTTCATTTGGAAAAAAAAAATTTACTGTTTTAAATTATTTTATCATATTTTGGGTAATTTCAATTGGACTGGTAAAATTGAAATTTTTGGCTATTATAAAGGAATCGGAACCAGATTATTTAAACATTCACACAGTCTTGGTGATAGATGGAATGATTTATCTATTAATTTGAATTCATCTTTAAAAAATATTCATAAGGTTTTTTTTTTGCTGTTCTTTCATTCATTCAATGAATTTGGTGTTATTTGTTTGTTTTTTCCTAGATCACAATTAGAGAAATGTCAGCTGGCGATTATAGAGGTGATATTGCAATTGATGATATATCTTTGACTTGTGGGCTTTGCTCGAATATACCACCTCTTCCAATGAATCCTGGGCAATTGAGTTGTAATTTTGAAACTAGTTTCTGCTCTTGGAGCGTTTCCAAGCATTTCGACTGTCCTAAAAGTAACTACGATTGGAAAAGACACTGCAGACCTACTCCAACCAACAATACGGGACCAAGCATGGATTCTTCCAATGCTATGGGCTATTACATTTACATGGAAGCTAGCAATAGTGAAGAAGGCTCATCAAGCGAATTGAAATCTCGTATCTTTGACCGTGGAGGTAGGAATTATTGCCTACAAATTTCTTATCATATGTATGGTTCTGATAACAAGATTGGAAAACTGGAAATTTTTTCAACCTATAGAGGAGTGCTGAAAAATAATATTTTTAAAAAAGATCATAACATTGGAAATCAATGGAATAAACTCTATATTCCTCTTAAATCTAGTGAGGATGTTGACCAACTTATTATTAAAGCGACATCTGGCGGCAATGAAAAATGTGATATTGCCTTAGATGACTTAATCATTAGAGAAGGTAGTTGTCCTGGTATTGAAGAAAAAAAACTCTTATGCACATTCCAGAATGATTTATGTGGTTTTAAACTATTTTGGCAAAATGCCAACTGGCAATTTATTAGAAGTAATTTATCCATTCAGTCAATTTCACCTTACAATGGAAGTCAGTTAAATTATTCTTTTAAAAATAAACTGCCAGTTTTTATATTATAAAAATGTTTCTATTTTTAGAATATTGTTTAAGAATCTCATCTTCAAAATTCCATTCAAACAATATTGCTACCTTATCAACAGGATTGAAAAAATTGACTGGAATCAGTTGCTTTTCATTCTATTATAATATTATAAATTTAAATGAACTAGGTGGTGCAAATTTGAATATTCAAATAAGGGACACAAAAAATGGTCCAATATTTTCGCTCAGTTCATTAAAAACAACAAATGGCATTTGGAAGAAACAGGAAATACAAATATCTTCAAAATCTTATGAGGTTTTCGTCTTTTTTCATTAACTTCCTAACTACAAGACATTTCTCTATTTATAGATATTCATTCAAGCTATTCAAGGATACTGGAATGAAAATCATATTGCTCTCGATTATTTCCAAATCAATAGTGGAAAATGTTCCAGGTTCAATCCAATTATTTATCCAGTGCCAAAGAAAAGTATGACGCTTATTTTTTTTGAGTATATTTGAATTTTTGAACATAAACAAACAAACAAACAAACCTACAAACATACTTTTCCTATCAGGCGAAAATGTTAATTGTAATTTTAACACTCATCTATGTGGCTACCAATTGAATTTATTACATAATGATCAATTTTTACTGGACTAGAAGACCATTGGGAATTGATAATTTAGGTTTGAATTTTCTCTTTGCCAAATCTAAAAACACCAATCTATTACATCATTTTTTTTTACAAATTGTTTTCTTTTTCCATAGATTACGGCTTGCAAATTGGTGGTATCACTGTAAAAAATGACTCATTTGCGTCTTTCACCTCTCCCATATTTTCTTCTTCATCTGCCAATAGATGTCTCTCTTTTAGTTTGAAGGAATTGGTTGTTCCTGGCCAATCAAATGGAGTTTTACCAAAAATTTTTGTTTATTTCAGAGAAGAGGGTATGAAATCATTTAGGTAAAATAAATAAAGAAAAGGAAATATTCAAATATAAATTTTAACTTTTGAATTCTTTGTTATTGTTGCAGATTTTCAGAAGAATTTATCTTCTCACAAAAAGGAAGTTGCAGTGAAAATATTAACTCAACTTATCTAAGAACTTTAAAGAGTAATGTTGAACAATTTCAAATTGTTGCCCAAGCTTCCAAAAATCAACAAATCAGAATTATATCAATTAGTGAAATATTTTTGAAAAGTAGTGTTTGTTACTCGGATAACGGTTGGAAAAGAATCTTAAAAACTTAAGCACAAACAATCAATCCATTCGTTTTTTTTTCAGATTTAAATAAAATTGGATTAAACCCACCAAGATGTGGTTTAACTTCCGATACACAATTTATTATTGGTGGATCATCTTCAAATATTGCAGATTTTCCATGGCAGGTAATAAATATTAAAATTTCCATTTTCTAATCCCAAATTGAATATTCATTTGAAAAAAAAAACCAAATTTTTGATTAGGCAACAGTTGCATTCAAGAGACATGGTACAGTTTGGCTTTGTGGCGGAACATTGATCCATGAAAGATTCGTTCTAACTGATGCTGATTGCATTGATCCGAAGTAAATTGATGATTGTCCTCTAACTGAGTAGTAAAAATGATTTACCTTCTTTTAATAGGGATAGTCCATTTACAGTATATTTGGGATCAAACCGGCTTCTCCAAGGTACTAGATACACTTCAAAAACTGTTTTTGTCCATTCAAGCAATAATGATAAATATAAATTTGGTATTGTGCCGGTAAAATTGGACAGAAAGGTTACACTTTCAAATTACATAAATATAGCCTGTTTAAGGAGGCATCCACTAAATGGAAATGAAAATTACACTTGCATTGCAACTGGTTTTGGTTCAAGTAATCCAAACAGTTAGTAGAGAGTTACATTTCTATCATCTTTGAATTTTGGGTTTGTTTTCTTTGTTTTCCAGCTCCAACATTAGCAAGTCAATCATTGTTAAAAGCTCAACTTTATCTAAAAAATGAAACGTTTTGTTCAGCAGCTTTAAAGACTATGAATAAAAATATTAATCTAACATATCCACAAATGATTTGTCTGTGGAATAATAATTACAAACAAACCTGTAATGTGAGTAAAAAATTAATAATAATTACCAGTTTTGTTTAATTGGTAAACTAACTGGCAGGGTGATGGAGGTAGTCCACTATCTTGTAAAATTGGTAATAGATGGGTAGTTCCAGGAGTTGTTTCCACAGTTCTAGAGCCTTGTAATAATAAATTATCGTTATATACGCAAGCCTTATACTACTTTGATTGGATTGCTATGATTATCTCACAAAATACTTGCTAAGGAATTAACCAGAAAATTGAATTCAAACACTCTAAACAACAACCTTTCTACTCTAATTTTTCGTACTCTAATACACCTATTGATTGAAAAGATAAAACAATTTTTTGGATTGTTGTCAGTCAAAGTAGTTCCAATAAAATGAGGATGGTTTTCTCCTCAGAAATTCCCTGATGTCTTTTTTTTAGGTCGTCTAAATTATCATAGTCAACTCCTCTGTTATGATCTTTTAGTCATCCAAATGAGTAATAGTCAGATGAAGCCAAATTAGTATGGGGGATGGGGGACATATAAACCATCACTGATTCTTAATAAAATCTGTCGTGTATAGACTTGAATGGGGTTTGGCATTATTGTGTTGTAAAATGATCTGTTTTACAGGCCTTATCCTATGTTTTCTCCTCCTTAATCTCTTTAGGGTCTCCATGTACTGTATGGAGTTGACTGTTCTGCCATAATTCACGAGTTCATTATAGATTAAGCCTGAACAATCCTAGAAAACAGAACACATCAGTTTCTCTGCTGATTTGGACATTTTTAGCTTTTTTTCAGGTGGAGACAAGGTGTGTTTATATGTCAAAGAAGCCATCTTTGATTCAGGATCAAACCCAAGATTCATCTCCAGTAATGATTTTTTCAATATTGAATCAGTATTGTACTATACAGATAGTACTGATAGAGATAAGCAGTATTGACCTAATTTCTTGAATTTTTCTATACACAGCTTGGCTCCAATGAAATGCACATCCTCTTATGAATATTGCTGGATAAATAGATTTTATTTGGCGAATATACAAATTCAAATGAATCTATAATTTGAAATTGGAAAGTGATATACTGTCTCAATGGATTTTGAGTTAGTCAAAGTTAAATATGTTCATTCAATATTGGAATATATTTGAAAAAACAAAATTCAAAAGTTCTTGAACCAATCACACTGTCAGACCTAACTTAGCCAAAGCCAAAGAGTATCAAGTTCTTGTGTTCAAGCCATGTTGAAATATTATTCAACTGGTTTAAAGTTGCATTGATAGCAACTACTGTCTCTTTAAAGTTTGGTCCAGTTTTTGACATGCAGGAACCAAATCTGATATGACAATACATGAACAGTTGGAAAGTTCTTGATTTGGAACATTTTTCTATTCAAGAAATAAATAACCACTAATATTTTAAGCATGATTTTCAAGAGTGAAAATGTTAAACTCTTAGTGTTCTACACTTTCTCTACATTTCCAACAGTTTTGAATCTCATATGTCTACTTTATGGATTCTTTACTAATACTGAGATGATTCTGGTTAATCAATCGAAAAAGCTGAGAGAACTGGTAGTTGAACAATATAATACAACAGATATTCAAGACAAATGTATTCAATGCAAAGATCCAAAAGGGTAAACAAAAACTAAAAAGGTTATCCAATTATTGATCTATTTGAAAGAAATGAAAAATGTAACAGCACAAATTGTCCACATGGATTCTATCTGTGTTTTCGCTACAAATATTGCATTTCCATTGAAAATATATGTGATGTAACTGATATTAGCAGTGATAGGGTTAGTGATGACATCACTACTCAAAGTAACGTTGACCAATATTCTTCTTCCTTTAATCCCCCATTATTGTTCACAAAAGATTATAGAACAATTGAGAAATGAAAGAGAAATGATTGAATGAGTTCATTGCAAATGTTTGAAATTCCATATTCCATTGTGGTAGTGAAATTTTTTTACAACCTTCCTTGTACAATATATTTAATAACTGTCCTTATCAGGATGTAATGTGTAAAATATAGTGCCATCTGTATTATAATTTATGCAAATAGGAAATTACTGTGTAGACTCTCAAAATACAATTCCATGAAGTTGATTAATTGATACAATGCTCTTTTTTTTTCAAATGCAAAGTAGTTTGTCAATTGGTGTGTTAGGTTTAAAATATCTTGATCTTCATGATTCCTCAATCAATCAAGTGCGAGAAGCAAAAGGAAATGAAAATTGACTTTCCAAGTTAACTCTTTTCAAAGTGAAAATTTTGGATAAATAATCTCCGTCTTTCAAGTGAGACTAATCACCTATTTTTTTACAATTGCAGAATTATGATACATTTGTTATATTATAATGACATATCTTTAGATTTTCATCTGTGCCTGTAAATCCTTTAATATATACAGCTTGGCAGTATTCTTGACTGCAATTGCAATAGTAGACACAAAAAGTGATGTTGTTTCCATCAATCAATTGACAAGCATGATATCTGCCCAGAAAAACTGGATTTGGTTGAAAATCACTGGGAATATAGGCTAATACTCCTGATGGTAATAGACCTTTAGTAGTATCAATGCAATTTTGTAAATTCTCTCCTTTAATTCGAATTTGAAAATTTGTCCATTCAGATTCAATAGAAGGCCATGGAATTCTTAAATTAAAAACTTTACCAGTTTCCACAGAGATACAAGTTCCGTTGTTTTCATTGTCAGTGATATCTGTGATTTTTTGACTCTTAGGATTGTTTTCATTCAAAAATTGGCGCATTAATGCAAGTTTCAATTATGATATACTGCCTTTTAACTGCACTCTGAAAATTGCAATTAGATGGTGAAGTACTTAGCTGATAACAGTTCTTATTAGTATTTTCAGAAACATCATTTTACAACTTGGATCATTTTTGCACAGGTTACAATTTCGTATTCCAACTGGCTGCGAGATGTCCACTCGGTGACAGTCTGAACTATAGCAAGTTAGGGATTTCAAAGTGTGTCTCTGATATACATAATTTCCTGAGAATGATAAACCAGGATGTTGTTCGCACACACCAGAATTTAAGATACAAACTGTCGTAATATCTCTATAAGTGAAACAATTACAATTTATGTTTTGTAAGCAGTTTTTAGCGCAGTCTTTTAAAGATATTGCGCTAAATATCGCCAATTTTGGAAAATCTTTTGCAAGTCTCCGAATTTTTAAAAATCCAGGTATAAATGTATTGTCATAATAACATTTTCCATTTGAATAACAACATCCATAAACATTACAATGAGTAAGATCAGTTTCAGTTGATCCACATATTGTTTTTAGACTGCTTTAAGCATTCTATTGCATTGACAACAGGCCCTGTAAAGGAATGGAAATGATTCTTAAAATTACAAGAATGATGTCATTCAAAATGGCAAAATTACTGCAAATTCCCGATTTCGGTCCAAGATAGTTTGATTGAGAATCTTCCACAAAATTTTCAGGTGACAAGTACTTATCAGCCGAATTTATATAACAAGCACTTTTATCATAATTAATTGATCTATGAAAAATAAACTGGTAGTTGGAAAATTAAAGAAAAAGAAGGATACTTACTTGCAAGCTGTGTTACTAATACATTGAAATTTACATTCTTCAATGGATATTGCAGGTGTTGTAGCCAAAATATTATTAATCATTTTAAAACCTTCAATCTCTTCAGTAAAGCAAACTAAATTCAATTGAAACAAACAATTTTTAAAATTTTGAAATTTGAAAAAATGAAAATTTTAGTTACTGTTTGATCTGGAAAAAGAATATTGCAGTTGACTTAGTAAAGACAATATCAAGAAAAAAATTTCCACCATATTTCAACTTGGTCTTCTACATTTTCTAAACAGAAAGTAAAAATCTCCTCTAAACTCAATAAGTTAAAATGTCAACTTGTCAATTTTTTATATACTCTTTGTTCAAATGTTCGTTATGTTAAATAAAAAGAAATCGGCACACTTGTATATGCTTGTTGTTTATGGATACAACAGAAAATGTCCACAAATGAGTGCTTTTACCCTAACCCTAACCCAGCCCTTAGCTGTACCTAACCTTTTCCATTACCCCTAACCCTTAGAGGAGACCCTCCTAACTACAAATCAGTTGCTGTTTTCTTCTGCCTAACCATTTTTCAATCCAAATTTTTCTCTTGAAATTTCTTATTTGTGCACGTTTTCTGTCAACCCCATTGTTTATGACTGTATTATATTTTGTATATGGCTTTCAACACCATCTGATACATGTTTAATAACAGATCAGCATAAAATATTCTGCATTCTTTATATTAGTATTAGATGATCAGATTGTCAGTTATTTATATAAAAAATTGTTTAGATTTTAACGAATCCTTAATAGGTGACCTTTGTCGGGATCTTAGTAGCATTCCTGAAAACCATTAGAAGTTGAAGCTCTCTAACTCTTACAGCAACACAGGCCATTTCCATAGTTTTGAATGGTAGGAATTTTTCTACAAGTTCTTTACTTCTTTTAACAAAACTCTTAACAGTTTCCTCATCAAACTGTTTCAATCTGTCAATATCTTTTTTAAAAGCCATAGGATCTGAATTGAATTCTTCATTCAATGAATCCCAAATTTCATTTTCAGTTGCCATGGAAGGTAAGCTTTCAAAAACATCTGACTCTTCAGGTAGTGTATTTTCTCAGCATTAAAATTCTTTTCTCCTCTGTATCCCAAAGGTTTAATTTACAAGCTGTTTAAAAGTTCCTCTTAAAGGCCCCAGTATCTTTGCTACCTGAATAGGGTCTCAGCAAAGTAGTAATAGGTTTCTCATTAGCATCAAAAGACTTGTAATTGTCTTTTCCAAAACACTTTCTTGAATCCCAGAATTACTGAATTTTGGTTGAATAGGATCAGGATTAACCACACCTTCAGAAAGGGGGCTGCTGAAAACACCTATTTTGCAGTTATTTTGGGGTGAGATTTTGGGTTGGGAAAGGGAAGGAAAAATATTCCAGCAATTGATTTGTAATTAAATGGGTCCAAACTAAGGGTTAGGAACAATGAAATGCTTAAAAAAGGGTCCAGGGCTGGGTCAGGGTTAGGGTAAAACCACAAAACTGTGGGCATTTTCAACAACATCCAATAAATATTAATAAAGGTAGATAAGAAATTTAAGAGGAAGAACATGTTGATGTGAATTGAAAAATTTCTCATTCTTTTTAGATGTTTGATTGATGTTTGTTATTAGAATGGAAGGAATAGATTAGAATTAGATGTCATAGAAAGTAAGAAAGCTGTTTTTTCATTTGAGTTTATTTCCAACATTCATTTGGTTAGTCCAAGGATGTAAGGTTGATTTTGGCTAATGAATGGATTGGAAAAAAAGAAATTATATGTGAGTTGTTGGATTAGGTGTAATCCTAAAGTTGATGGAGTGTTTTGATATAAAATATTGTGAAGCTTATATGGAAAATTGATGAAAAAAATACTTATTTTTTGATTTTGGCTTAAGAAACAAGGGTTAGAAAATTTGAGATATTTAAAAGCTCTTTTACAAGCTTAAGAAACAAGAGTTAGATATTTGAGATATTTAAAAGCTCTATTACAAATTTATACTTGAGGGAACTTTTATAATTTTTAGAATTATATAAAATTTGAAAAAAACTAAACACCAACAAACACTTATGCAGCTTACAAAAGGTATACAAAATACTAATAAAATTTACACCAAATTAAAACCTAGTTAATACCAAAATTAGTACCAAAATTAATAACAAACATCAACAATTAAAAAATTCAGATTCATCATGATAAAGACAACATATTTTCAGTAATATTTAGGAATTTCATCATTTGGTTTTAACAACAACAAATTAAACTCTGGAAATCTGTAAAAAGATTTGAGATCATGGTAAGAATATTAGTTTATGTACCAAAATTTGAAAGCTGTATCTTATGTATTAACAAATTTAGTTATTTTTCTGAGGAATATTTTTTTATTTATATTAGAGTGAGAAAATCATATCCCAGCAACTACTTCTCTGGTTTTGAATTAATTAAAAACCACAAAACTGGGCAATTTCAACAACATCCCTTCAGGAATTGTAGCTGCCCCAGTTGGTGAATGGTATTTCAAAAAGCTGTTATCATCAATCTTAGCTCCACTACCCTTAATTCTCAACATTAATTCATTTATTTTAGAGATACTCATCTATTTCCTTTGATCTAGTTTGTCACTTTCATAACCCAAAATATCATTCCTTTATGTAGAATTATGGACTGTCAACTGCACCATATCTGTACTTTGTTGTATTCTAATTGTAAGAATTTCTGCTTCTTTAGAACAGTATTCATCCTTTCCAATCATTTATCAACTTACCAAAGTACTAGTTCAAATAGAACCTTTCAAGTTTGTCCACAAGGAGTCTTAACAAATGTAATTTTGGTAGAAATCAACAAAATGCCAGTATTTCATTTAAAGAATATGTATTGAGTAAATGAGTGTCTAGTTCTAAACAAGTAAGTTTAAATAACCAGTTAATGGTCAAAGAACTGAACTGACAAGCTGGGGAAATGCATTTCCTTTTATATATTTGCCAAACCTTGGGTTCACTTGGTCAAAGGATTACAAAGTTGAAATGTAACAGTCTCACAATGCACATATAACAAAATATGAAAAGCTATTGCAACACTTATGCCTATCATGTGACACTGCAAAAACAAGCTTGCCTCTCCATCTGTTTATGAATAAGATGTAACAAGTTTGACATGCATTTATACTGTTTGTTCCTTTGTTAATTCCATGGTGCCACCATCTGTTATGGTCAAAGAATCTATTTCCTATGAAATAAACGTCTTTTTAAAGTTCTAGACAATAATTCCACTAAATAACAGTCTCTCTGAAAAGCTGCTATCAGAGAGAAAGATATGCCAAACTCAGAAATATAAATATAAGGAATTGCAAGATAAAATTTTTTTAGTTTGGAAAGAATTTGCAAAAAGTAATAAAACAGCTGATGATGTTTTAACAGAAGTTTGCAATGTGTATTATCCATAACTTTTAAAATACAAGTTCTGATGAGTATGAAATGAATTATCAGAGTTTATATTTCCATTCTTTTAACTTGAGTGTTGTATCAAGGAAATATATATGATAATTTATTCATTATAACAATTATCTACTTTGGCAGTAAAACAATATCAAAAGATGGTTTTCATTGAACAACACAATATTTTCAAGTTGACCCAATAAACTTTCCTAATCACCTACTTTCCAGGAAATTATAGTCATGGGGGTCAACTGTCCGGGGGTAGTTTCAGTAGTAATCTTTACTTATAACTTGTGAGTTATCTATTTCAAGAATTGTATCCCTATCATTTCCATTCTTGTGATCGATATGAATGACAAACAGTTGATTATTTCCATTCCAATAAGATATACTAAATGAATGGTCTGCATTATTCTGAGAATTTAGTCCAAAAGTAAACCCTATAAAGCTGTTTTTGAGATATGATGGAATATAATAGAACAACAAGGTATTTCCAACTATATCAAAGGTTTTTTCAGGGATTTCTGCAAAGATAAGATAAAATTCATGAATAGGATTAGAGATATGGGATAAATAAACCATTTGTGTAAATTTGAATATAAGCATAATCCAGATTGTAATGTACTTTGGGATAAGTACTAATAAATGTTAATGTTAAAAATGATTCAATAGAATATCCTTCATAATTAAAACATTGTCTCAATCTTGAATTTGGAAAATTTAGCATTTGAATTAGATTAGAACTCCAATCAACTTGAACAGTTTTTAGTAGAGTTACATTTCTATATTCTCTATTTAAAAATAATAATTTTTGTTTTACTGCAAGATAATGATCAATAAACTCTTTTTTTCTGTTTACCTTCCAGCTACACAGAGTCATTTTGGTGAAATTCCATCAGCCAAGATCAATTTATATTTTATATTAAGGCAATTTCCAGGTGAACACTGGGCTATCCAGTCTGCTGTAAGCCCAAGTGAAAAGTTAGTTTAGAGCATAGGTACAAGTTGATTGTGAATGTGAAGATTCACAAGATGATCCCTTGGCTACAGTAGCTAAATTTGTCATGTGCCTTTCTCTTTCACCACCTGAAAATCATATGCGAATGCTAGTGGAGGGGTTGGGAAAAAACGTCCCTGGAAACAAAAGCAGGAAAGTACAGCTATTAAAAGAGAAATGAGTTATTTCCTTGTATTGTCTGTAAGTGAAAGATAAATTTTTCATTTCTTGGCAATATTCAGGTTAATTTGTTTTTTAAGCATTGAAACTCTGTTATTGATTTGGTTTATTGAATATTACAAGATTATACATTTTTTTAAGAACCCTTCTATCCTGTCAGTTATTATTTATAATTTTTGTATTGGCAGCCATATTTGATATTTGAAAGTTAATTTACTTTTGCAGAAACATTGAAAGTACTTGGATTAAGCATTCAATTTGGACACCAAATTGTTGGTCTGTATTTGGTCTTACCATCAGGACCAACAATGATGTTGAAGGATGGCACATAAGAATATATGAAAAGACTCCTGCAGAAGGCTCATTTTATATGCTCATAGATATTTTAAAACAGGAATCAAGTCTTATTCCAGTTGTAGAGAAACTTCTATCAGAAAAAAGGCTAAAGAAGTATCAGAAGAAAAGTGTCATCCAGAAGCAGAACCAAGTATATGCTGTTTGGGATGAATACAGATTGAGAATGGTTACATCTGCTGTCCTCTTGCTGAAGATTGCATTAATCTATTCAAAATAATTCTCAGTGTCTTAGCATAATTTTTACTTTATTCTGGTAACTTTTAAACTTTGTATAACATTCTTAGCTTTTTTCATTTTTAATACATTTTAATAAACATATATTGATTATTAATTATTATATTCTCAGTATATTGTCATTGGTTCCCTAAATAGAGCAATCTTTTTAAAATTCAAATATCTTTTCCCACTACTTGTTTTTCCCAACCTTGGGAGGTTTTTTCCCACCTTGGGACGTTTTTTCCCAGGGACGTTTTTCCCAAGGACGTTTTTTCCCATACTCCTAGTGGAGAATCATTTACAAAATGATATATACCTTCTTGAAAGGTGTATGCCAAGACACTTCCCAATCCATAGTTATATGTTCCATAGCCCTTTAAGGCTGTTGCTTTTATCCATTCAGTATTTTCACCTGTTGAATTAGGTAAGAGAAAACATTTTTCAAAGTTGATATTATCAAGTTGAACAACGTAGCTAGCTCCATTACTGAACTCTAGTTTAACTTGTTTAATTAATTCAGAGGCGATTTGTATTCTTTGCTCAATGCAAATTTCGGCAATATCAAATGTAGATGCAAATGTGATTTTTAAATATTCACTTTCACAGGCGGTTGATTGACATGATGCTGTCCAATCACGATAGTTAATCCAGTGAGGATCTAGAGCATTTTCACAAACATATGTATAGTCTCTCAAATTTGCTATAGCTGACGTTGCTTCACAACTTCCTCCATTTTCCTTCCTGCAAACGTTTATCAATGTCCCAATTGGAAATGGAGAAATATTTTTCCATAGAGATTTGAAAATGATTAATACATTAACCTGAAGGAAAAGATGAATGATACACGAAAAGTGAGGAGAAATAGATGAACAGAAGGAGCAAGTTTTCCATTCCTTGGTATCTAGCTAGTTTACATCTATTAACCCGAATCAATGTTGTTTGAATAACAATAATTTACATGAGCAAAATCTAATTAAATATAGAATAATGATTAATTTATAAATCAATATGATCAAAATACATTAATAAGCCTAAGACTGTACACATACATTCGTCAGCTATATTCTACAATAGAGAAGTAGTATTGAACCAGTATTGTACTATGCAGATAGCACTGATAAAGATAAGCAGTAGTGACCTAGTTTCCTGTAGGGCAATACATACACATTATGCAGCAATAAAACCTATTAAATTATATAAAGAATATTTGCTATTTGCAACCTAGCATTAATATTACAATTTATTAATCCATAAATTTATGATTTCGAACTAAAACTAGTTCAATTAATTATCAATTATGCTTAAATTCTAAGTTTAGATTATATTGACTATTCAACAGTATTGTATACACAATACTGTTCTTTTTAACATGCATTAATCAGATATACTTCCTCCTTATATGCTGATGCTAAATTTACTAACTCAATCAATTGAATATCATTATTAAGGTAGAATATAAAAACGGTCAAATATACAATCTACATGTTTTCTTGATTGTTGGACTTGTCCTACTAAAATTGTTACATCTTATGCAACTCTCCAACCTTCGAAATTCAACTATTATTTAGAAGAGGAAAACAATAAAAACATGACCATATTTACAACTTTTCTTTGTCTTCAAATGTTACTTTTGTTTTTGTGAACATTGAAATTTGTCAACTATCAACCCTTAAAAGAGTATATAAACCCTACGAAATTAACAGTTGATAGTTCAGTTTTCTAACCGTCAGCTAGTTGTTTAAACTAGCTTGTTTAGAACTAGAAGCTCATTTTACTCAATACATATTCTTTGGACGAAATACTGGTGTTTTGTTAATCAATTTCTACCGAAATTGCCTTTGTTAGACTATTTGTGGACGAACTTTAAAGGTTCTATTTGGACCAGTACTTTGGCAAGTTGGTAAATGATTGGAAAGGACGATTACAGTTGTGACGAACCAGAAATTCCTACAATTACAATACAACAAAGTACAAAGACCTTCAAATTAACTACTGTATATTTCAATTCCAATGAAATTCCAATTTCCAAGTAATTCAATAATTCAAGTGGATAAAAAGTAAAATACATATTTAAAGTGTGTATTAATAGAGAATAACTCTGGGTATACCTAAACACCAAATGCTGTAAAGTCAGCTATGTAAAAAGAAGAACAAGCTGAGTTTTTTTGACATATATCCACTTCTAATTCTCTAGAGGAATAGAAAATTCTTTTTGGAAAGGAAAATCCTTTAAAAAATTGATAACAAACTAGCTGGCAATAGATTTTTTTGTCAAATATTTTATATATTTTTTTGATTTTAAATAACATATGGAGCCACTCTACAATTGAACACTTGTCCTAATACAATTAATACATAGGTCTAAAGTCAGTTTTATTCAACAAATTTTCAATAATCACAGTAGGCGTTTTAATCAATATCATCAGAGAATGAACAACCAGAAACTGATATCAACTGAAAACGCCCCCTTGGATCTGTTAAAGAAAAATACTAATCAGTCTGTATTAGATTTTTGTTTGAATAACACAACTAAAGATTTTTTGCAATGGAAACTAAAATACATGTGAAAATGCTTCTTCATAGTTTTTCTGATGTGAATAATATGAATTATGAAAGTGATGATAAGGAAAATCATTGTAATGGCATTTTTTACGAAATTAAAAATGATAAAACATACAAAGTATATATTTAAAATTGAATTCTTGTAGATAATTCATTACTGTAAATTTCTTAAATTAGATCAAAATACAAATGATAATATTTCTATACCTAATTTAGCCTATAATAGATCTCTTACCTTTAAATAGAAATAGCAGTACAATACAGAAACTCTTAGCTAAGTTATTCTCTTT